TTAAACATAAAGAGTTACTTACCTTTGAGTTGTGATAGAGTTAAATTAAAAAAAATTATATGTTTGCATTTACTGAGTTTCATTTGTAGATAGAGAGAAAGTATCAAGGTATTTATTGAGTTAGTGAGAGAAAGTAAAGAAAGGTAGATAAAGAAAAGGAAATTCAAAAGAGAGATGAAGAAGAGAGAGTAAAAAAGAGAGGGAGAGAGAGTGTGAGAGACAGTAAGAGAGAAGAGAGAGAGAGAGAGAGAGAGCTTATGCATACATGCCATTCCACTTAACAACTTATCATAACAAACCAATATCCGATGCAACACACACACACACACACACACACACACACACACACACACACACACACACACACACACACACACACGTTATCACTGAGCAGACAGACTTGACTCCGAAACTGGATTAATGATCACATACAGAACTGACTCGGAATTGAAGCGAATCCCCCTCCCTCCTCCTTCCCCCAGTCTATAGCACACATGGGTTGAATTGACCATCTTGGACGTAATTCATTTGGGATTGGATTGGACTTGGAGTTTCCCTTCTGAGTTTATTAACCTGTGACTGCGTAAGGTGAACCCCGAAACAGAAAAACACATGAAACTAAACCTCGGAACTGAAACACAGGGAAACTTCTCACCGGTCCCAATTTCCACCACGCTCACCACACCACCACACCACCAAGACCCAACTAAGTTACAAGACATAAATGCACGCTCTCACTCAACCACCTCGAGAACCAGCTGTTAAATGTTGTAATCTCTTCCTCCCCCTCCCCTCTTCCTCCTCCTCCTCCTCCTTCTGAACCCCATCACCTCCCCCTCCCCCTTCATCACTTCCGTCTCCTCCCTCCTACCCCTAACTCCCTCTTTCTCTCTTCTCAATGTCCTCTCCCCCTCCCCCATGCACTTTTACCACCACCCTCTCCTCCGCTCCCTTTCTCTCCTCACCACCCTCTCCTCCTCTCACTCCCTTTCCCTCACACCTGTCTGACAGGCTGACCCTCCCTTACCCTCACACCTGTCTAGCTGATCCTCTCTTACCCTCACATCTGTCTGGGTGGCTGACCCTCCCTTACCCTCACACCTGTCTAGCTGACCCTTCCTTACCCTAAAGTCTCAAACAGACACAGGTAGGTCAGGGTCACAGAAGCCAGGGACGGAGGGAGGGAGGAGGGCCATCATTAACTTCAGTACATTCTGTCTCTCTGGTAACATCTGTCGTCTGTCTCTCTTTCCCTTCCTCCAATTCCTCCTTCTCTCCCTGTTCCTCTTTCCCCCCTCCCAGTGATGGTGGAGGTGCTGGAGGGTGAGGAGGAAGGGAGGGAGGGAGGGAGGGGGAAGGCGCCGCAGCAGGAGGTGAGGGCAGCTAAGCAGGGTCCTCCACACAGTGTAAATAACACGCCTCGTGACTCACCCTCAGCGACTACTGCCCAGACATATTTTTTTTTCTTACTTGTCGTGTTGTGTAATTTTGTTTTTGTTTTCACGGTTTTTTTTTTTTTAGGTTTATGCTTTCACGGTTTTGGTTTACTTGGTTTAATTGGTAATTTCAAATAAAATCTGTAATCTATTAACCATCTATATGGTCTTCACATTCCTGAGTAATAGTTAGTTCAGGTTAGTTTAAGTTAGGTTAGGTTAGGTTATTTTGGGTGGACAGGTGACTCCATCATTCGCAAGTGGCTGGACCAAACACCCACCGACTAACTCATCCGTATACAGTATCCACCTACTCACTCACTGGCCAGACTGACTCATCATCTATTCATAAACCAACCTGTTAATCTACTCACCACCTCTACATACCACCTACTAATCTACCAGCTGGATGTACCACCTGTTAACCAGCTTCTGTATCTCCCTTAGTCCAGCTGTTTCTTTCACTCACACATTCATCCACTCATCTTTTTTGTCACCCACCCACCCACCTACCCACCCACCTACCCACCCACCCACCCACCCAGCGAGTCATTTACCCAGTCACCCACAGACAGAGAAGCAGGGGGGGGAAAAAAACAGGGAGGGTGATATACCGTGTGTGTGTGTGTAGAACCGAGACAGACGACCTCCTACAGGGTATATTTCTGGGCCCTCCTCCACCACCGTCTCCAGCTCCTCTTACTAACTAACTTCTCACTGTTATGACTTTATTTTATCCTCGTGATCTTTTTTGATGATGATGATGATGATGATGATGTTTATTGATGAAATTGATGGAAAGAAGAAGTAGATATTGATAATTATTGCCACTATTGATGGAGGGAAGTTTATTATTGATGCTACAATTGATGAAGGGAAGTTATTGATGCTACAATTGATGAAGGGAAGTTATTGATGCTACTATTGATGAAGGGAAGTTATTGATGCTACAATTGATGAAGGGAAGTCATTGATGCTACTATTGATGAAGGGAAGTTATTGATGCTACTATTGATGAAGGGAAGTTATTGATGCTACTATTGATGAAGGGAAGTTATTGATGCTACTATTGATGAAGGGAAGTTATTGATGCTACTATTGATGAAGGGAAGTTTATAATGCCAGTAATAGTTATATCAAGTTACATGGATGAATGTTCACAGAAATAATGCAGTTAGTCATATATATTAATTAACACTGGCCTGAGATAAGCCCGGCCGTCAGGTATAAGTAAACAATAAATAACAAACATGTAGTACCGCACAAACACGTCATAAACACGTCATAAACACGTCATAAACACGTCACTCATGGCGTGGGGCTACTTGGCTCTTACTAGACGCATGGACACGAGGTAGGGTGGCCTTGATATTTCTGGCCCAGAGAATCAGAGAAAGGCATTTGATATCACAGTTTCCCGGAAGCTGTTTGCCAATCTACACGCTTGTTACACCCCGAGGGAGTGGTCCAGGGGGGTTGTCTCTGTTTACACAACCGGTAGTCACTAGCTTGTAGCTTGTTAGTATTAGTATAGTAGTTTGTTTTGAGAAGGGTCTCGGCGAGGTGCTACAGCTAGGAAGTGTGGGTGGCAGTGCCTCTGTTTCGTTGTGGTCAGGTAATAGTCAAATAAGAGCCATGATATTTCACGTGTCAATTTCTCATATCATCACTGTCAATTTTCACCTTGTCGGCAAAAAAAAAAGTTAGTTCATTTTTTAAGCTTAATTGGCGATTAACATTTCTTACAGTGATAAGTATATATATATATATATATATATATATATATATATATATATATATATATATATATATATATATATATATATATATATATATATATATATATATATATATATGTGTGTGTGTGTGTGTAATATTCAGAAATTTCAGTGTTATTTCAAACGCCGCGATGCTGAGTTCAAGGTCGTCTGAGGGAAGACCGCGCTCCCGCACGTAGCAGAGTTTGTGGAACTAGGCCTATATGATATTAAATGTAATTTACCGAGTTAATAGGGACGCGAATCATGAAATTAAATATCAGTTATTAAATTGAAAATAATTATAGATCGTTTCCCAGCCTGAAAATGTTGCGTACGTCCTAATTAAGCTGTTAATCGTCTGGTAAATGTGAGCGAGCGTGGCTGGGGAGCTGTGAGAGAGGTCAAGGACCACCTCCGTGCTGTACCCAGGAGAGACGGATCGCGTGACCTGGTTCCTTCGTTTATTTAACATCAGTATTAACAAGTAAGTTTTATTCAATCTCAGACAAAGCTTGATAGGGCGGTAGGAACAAACGGTGATGTGAGACAATAGCTAACAGCCGGGGTTTTTGAGGGTTCTGTAGACCCCACGCGGTATGATAACGTCCACTGGCGGTATGAGACTCGAGTGGTGAAGCGAGCTGTATGACCGTCCACTGACCTGGGTTTGAGCCACCTGTTGAGTATGGTGAGAGTTGGAGTGAACCCAGCTGTCTGGGTGCCCAACTAACGACGTGACGATCGTTTGGGGTCATCAACTCTCCTCTACCTCGGCTCACAATACCACATATCTTCAAGCAGCTTAGTGAAAATCTTTTACTAACGGGAAGCTAAAGCTTCTCTCAACTGTACAAAGTCTGAGTGGCTCACTCCCTTCCGTTTCATGGATGTACTGGGGGTAAAGTGAAGCCAGCTGAGTGATACAGGGTCACACACTGGGACCAAGAGTCCAGTGGAACTTAGAGGTTGAGTAAGGCTGGTTTGGGCCTTAAACTACGGGTGCCTGTTGGTTGTGCCTTAAAAAATTACGGAGTGCAGGTGGAATCTATGTGTTAGGTTAGGAAGCATGGTTCACAGGTATTGGTGGACTCAGTAACTTCTTAATAAGAGTGATAATATTTTTGTGACTACTTAATACTATTTTTTCAGTTACTAATGTATGCTGTGTGCATTTAATATTTCATTATAATTTCAATCTCAGGTATAACCCTTGTTCCCCAGAGTAGTGTTTAAGTTAGGTTAGGAGGTGTGCATCTGTTGGGGTAACATAATTTTGCTGAGTGCCCTGAAGGCCGACTCAGGGTGGAGTTAATAAGTTCTATTTTTTATATCATTTTCTCAGTGCTGGATGATATTTTGGTGAGTGCCCTTAAGGCCTATTCATTGTAGAGTTATTAATTTCTTATTTTTTTAATACCATTTTCTCAGTGATTGATATTTTGTTGAAAGCCCTTAAGGCCTGGTTCATGTGTGCAAGCAACATTTCTTAATACTTTAAACTTATTGTCCTCTAATGAGGCATTGCCTGAGGTTCTAATAATTTCAATATCATGTATAACTTTTATTCCCCAGATTAGTATTTTAAGTTCAGGTTAAGAGGTGGGCATATTGGTGTACCATTATTTGATTGTGTTTGTAGTGTTGGAGGGAATATAAGTGTAAATTTTACAGTGTGTCTCATTCATCACGTAAAATACATACATTGAACATAAGTATAAATACACCTTCTCTTGGAAATTAGAAAAAGAAAAAAATCTTTCAATCCTAAAGCGAACCGATCATGTAGGAGACTAACACACATTAATAAGTGTCTTACAGTTTTATTTATTGTTTATCCATTTATTTAGTTCTTCTTCTTCACCTACTCATTGTTCTGGCTGCTGTGTGCAAAGCTGTGAGAAGTACACAGAGCTGAGGCCTTACTGGAGATGCTGGGACAATAACTCTGTAGATGATTGTTTATGGGTCCGTATATCACATGTTTTGGGGTGATGAAGGAGTGTGGGGAGGATAGGGAGTGGGTAGTATAGGTAGGGGTGGGGTGAGTATAGGGTGGGGAGAGGAGGATAGGGTAGCGAAGGGGTGTAAAGGGCTGGGGAGTGTATAATATAATACATATCCAAATGAATAGCATAGTAAGACGATGTTATGCGCTCTCTCTCTCTCTCTCTCTCTCAACCTTTATAAACAATACACAAATAAAATGATCTTTCCAATAATACACACACATAGGGAAGGCCACCATGTAAGCTTCGTCACACACACACACACACACACACACACAGGGGGCCCGTCCTTAAGACACTGACGTCATAGATAAGTAGCCAATCATAAACGACACAGAAGGAGAGGCCATCTGAGAGGTCTCCCTGTAAACTCTGACGTCACTGTTAGGGTAGAATGATGAAAATACGATAGAAAATTCGTCGTTCTTGCAATATTCCCACTGGTAGGGACGTGTATAAGACAGGGAAGTGACGGGAAAGTGGCATACAGTGGACGGAGTGTTGCACTTAACACAGTAAGGCCACGGAAGCAGAGTCTGGGTGTTGGGGGGGGGGGGCATTTTCTTATATTGTATACAATAATATCTGACACAGTAGTTATGTGCAGGTAGTGACGTCATGGATAATAATAATAATAATAATAATAATAATAATAACTTAATAAAGAACGTTAAACGATTCAATACATTTCAAGTTGAAAACGAAAACACTTTAGCAGGGAAGTGAAGTGGTATTTGAGCCCTAAGACGAAGCATCCTTGGCCATGATGCTTAGTGGCCAGGAAGCCTTCGGAGCCATATAGCTTCAGTGGCCACACCTCAGTTACGGCGCACCACTCATGCCTTATGGAGGGGGTGGTTGGGTGGCCACTTCAAGCTGGTTTAGGTCTGTTACCCCTCAACTCTCGTCCTCCCAAAACAGAAACAAGTCGCATCTCTCGGTGTTCTGTTCAATATTCTCGTCTCAGTCACAAGTCCTAAGCCTTATCTTTTTAAACGTAATACACAACTTTTATTAGATTTAAAACATGTTCTCCATGTACAGTCCTCTTCACTAGTGCGTTTACAGGGACTCGTCGGGTTTTGTGCAGACCCTGTGTTTGTTTACATTCGAGAGAAGGAAACTCGCAATAGTAAACATACTATGTACTCAAACTAAAACAATATTAAAACAAATATCTCAATGTAATAATATGTGGAATGTTTATGTGACGAGCCCCCGTAAACGCTCTAGTGAAGGGGACTGTACATAATTTTGCCGTAACCGTAAGCGTAATAAAGTATTTTAGGCACGTTGTCACACATTTATATACAATGTTTTATCACTCAGTACTTGGAGGACTGAGAATAAACTCCTTCGTTTTTAACATCCTGGCGTTTTAGTCAACAAGTATGGTAAGCAAGTTATGTCGTCGGCCTCCCAGTTCCAATAATGATCAAAGGCATAAGCAAGAAATAAGCCAAAAGTTGTTTACCTAACCTTCTAAAACTAAATTTTCGCATTTAAACTCTCAAGAAAAAGTTGCCTCCGGGAGTACTAACAGCATTGCAAAAGAGAGACAAAATACCAGCACTTCATTCACCTTCTCAAATTCTATTTTAAATGTAAGAGTCTTTTTAAAATCTTTTTCTTATTCATTACTTACATACACAAGTTACTTTCTGAAGTTCATCTCTCAAGGTGAAAGCTTTTTATAAATATTGTTTCCACAGTTCTCACAATTATAACCAAAACAACAGCACAATATCCACCTTCAACAACTCCACTCTCGCATTCAAAGTCTTTTATAGAAAAATATTGCCACAAACAAAAACTCAACTGAATGGAGGAGAATATTACTTAACATCGGCCGGAGCCTCTATAGTTATATGTCAACACATAAACAATGTTCTCTGGTGAAGGAAGGTTTCACTCGTGGAGTTTGATGGACAGTTATTGATGTGTGATGATGAAAGAAGCTTATTGTCATGCCAGAGATTCTTGTCCTCCTCTGAGTCTTGTATCGGGATCACTTGATTTCATTTTTTCTTTTGTAAATGAGTATTCTTAATTAAAACCTAATGTAATTGGTAACACTTGGATTAAAGCCTTTTGACTGAGAATATTTTGGTTAAAGCATTTTGACTTGAAGAGACTTTCTTCCGTCACTGAGATCACTCGGTTAAAATCATTTGTCATTGAGAACGCTAAGCTAAAACCTATCGCTGTCAGATGCATTTATAACTGTCTACATTTTCTTTTGCCTTGTGGATCACTCGACAAAAACATCATCGTCCCAGAACTACCGTGATTCAAAATCCTTTCTCGCTGTCTTCCAGAACTATGAATCAAGAGAGTCTAAGATCGCTTCCTGAGGCTACAGGCAAACGTTCACTCGCCTTCTGCTTGCGGTGGTCTTCTTTCACGGTACGACCAACTGTCCTCCAACAGAAGGCTTGCAAAAAGAAATGGTACTTGAGGGTGTCTAAGGGCGGTATGTGGCGCTACATTAGGTTACACACGCTCGAGGTGGAGGAACTGGCTGCCTGGGGCACCTTGGGAAGAGCCGCCTCCTGGAAGGTCAAGATCTCGGCTGTCACTACCGGCTGCTGTTGTTCCTGCTCGGCCTTCGTCAGCCGTATTCCCAGGAGCTCAGCTGCTACCTGTGAAAAGGAGCAGGAGTAATCGAATATTTTGTATGAGAGAGAAACGGATAGAGAACAGAAATATATACAGAAAGAGAAAATAAGAGGAATGACCATGTGCCAATTTAACATTCCATGACTGACGAATGAACACAAGAAAAATATAGTACAGTATATCACGACCACGAAGACACATTTATAAGTAAAAACAATTAAACTAAAAAAAAAGTGTCAACCAACACAACAACATTTTTGCTTAATGGAGTCGCTCTCCGGAACCTCCACCCCCCCCCCCCTCCACTTTGTCCAGGTCAGCGCCTCACCTTCTGAAAGGAGAGAGAGACGCCCTCGCCTGTCTTGGCCGACACCACGTAAGACGTCATCCCGTGTTCGTTGGCGAACCTGTGATGGCGTTCACTTTTCACCTGTGGACGAAGACATGGGTACACAGGTACACTTTAGTAGAGGAAATAGTGGGGGAGGCAGGTGGAGAGGAGAGGAGAAATGGTCAACAGTCACGGAAGATTTATTCATGGCCTATATGATTAGTTACCAAGTTGTTGACATTATACTGACACCTGGGCATTATACTGACACCTGGGCATTATACTGACACCCGGGCATTATACTGACACCCAGGCATTATACTGACACCCAGGCATTATACTGACACCCAGGCATTATACTGACACCCAGGCATTATACTGACACCCAGGCATTATACTGACACCCAGGCATTATGGCATTATACTGATTATACTGACACCCAGGCATCATACTCACACCCAGGCATTATACTCACACCCAAGCATTAAACCGACACCCAGGCATTATACTGACACACAGGCATTATACTGACAACCAGGCATTATACTGACACCCAGGCATTATACTGACACCCAGGCATTATACTGACACCCAGGCATTATACTGACACCTAGGCATTATACTGACACCCAGGCATTATACTGACACCCAAGCATTATACTGACACCCAGGCATTATACTGACACCCAGGCATTATACTGACTCATGCCTTATACTGTCCTAACTTATCCCCTGTGCTTCTGATGTCTTCTCACACCTTATGTTACATTGGACCACCTCTCATCCTCTATACATTGTCAGTAACCCATGTAAAGGCCAGAAGGGTAAACTTATCGGATAATTCAACTACTGGTATAGTGTTCCATCCTGAGGTAAGCTTTCCGAATATGTGGCAATGTCGGAATCACTTTATGAATGAAACATTATCGAAAAAATATATTGTTGGTAACTGCTCTCCTCACGTTACATATTCATTCTTGAATATATTTGAAAAGATCACCTAAGGATGGAGCACTATACCTGTGGCCAACTGTACATACTGAGTACTTTGTTGTGATGTGTTAGGAGTAACCATATATCCTATGGGGAGGCAAATTGGAAGGTGAGTATCATATGGAAGAAGACCTTTAGAATTCTACAAGGAGATCCGCACAGGTCTCTCCCCTTCTCTCTCTCTCTCACTCACCTGTCTGGCGTGCTCAAGATCTGCCTTGTTAGCCACCAGAGCCAGTATGGGCGGCCTCTCCTGGGCACGAGCAGCTCTGCGGACCGCCGTCACCCAGTCCTGCAGTGTGTCTAGGGAGTTGCTGTTGGTCACGTCGTACACGAACATGATGGCGTGGGCTCCGTACAGGTACTGAGGATGATCAAGCTCGTCAGGAAATACTGCAACTACGACAAACACGAGAAAGAACTTAAGACTACATGAGATTTACAGACGTAGAATACAATCCGGAATCTGTCTTTAACAGGGCTGTCTATCTATCTTACCTAGTTACAAAATAAATGACGCGCAGCAACACAATGCAAATTTGACATCAACTCTTGAAACGTCAAAATTACCAGAGCGATAACCATTATAAAGTGATAAAAGATATGTTAATAAGCTTGATGCAGTCATATAAACTAATGTCATTCTAAATATTTTGTGGGATTGAGATTTTCACGAAAATTGATAACGAAAATTGTACTTTGTATACCAGCACTATTAATGTACAGTGCATGGGAGCTTCGATAACAGCTTTACTGATTACTGTACAACCAGAGTCGGTCTTCATTTCAACTAAATATTCTTTATTTTTTTACCTGAAGATATTATTAATTTGTTGAAACTAAATACTGTTCATCTCGAGCTGATAAATATATTACTATATATAATACAAAGATTATAAATACCTTATCAGTCATCTTGCCGGCCAGTGCTGAACCGGCAACGTCCCAAATTTGAACATTGACGTTACGTTCATTCCCCAGGACCAGCCGCTTTAAATAAAAGTCCACCCCCATCGACGCCTGAAACCACAAGAAAACGTAAACAATAAAGAAAACTTGTAATTCTCAGGGTAAGCTGTGTTATACTACGTTAATCTCTAAACAATATCATGAAACAAATTTATGAAATAATAGAATAAATATAACTAGGTTTCTCTGCACTTTCAACTACTGAACAACCCTTACTGACTCACTACGACTCACCCATGACTTGAGTCACGGACTAAAGTACCTCATAGACCGCGTTCAACTAACCACCGCAACTGACCGGAAGTGTGACTCATCTATTGCGTGACTCACCGCATACACTTTGACCCACCTACCGCGACTTACTAGACCATGACTCACCTACCACATGACTCCTCTGCTGCAAGACACACCTACCACATGACTATACTTTATTACTCACCTCAAAACCTTACTGACTCACCTGGTAAGACTTGTTGATTGTGTCTTGAGTGTACCTGAGGGCGAGAGAGGTCTTGCCCACCTGAGGAGACCCCACCAACACCACCTTCACCTGCCTCTCCACAGCCTCGTCCTCGGAGTCTGACATGGCGTATCAGTTAGTGACCTGGTGGTGGTTCAGTTAGAAACCAGGTAGTGATCAGACGGCGAACATGTGGCAATCAGATAGCGAAGAGTAGGCGATCAAATGGCGACCAATAGGCGATCAGACAGCGAACAAGTTACAATGGGCCAGATGAGGACCACTTGACGATCAGTTGGCGACAAGTTGGCGATCAGATGGCGACCAAGGTAATAGCTCTTAATATTGCACGAGTTTCATGACTGACATAGTGGACCCAACTGAGGTGATGGCTCCGACCTCCGCTGACGTGACCACACCTCCTCCTCCTCCTCATGACCCCGACAAGAGAGCAACGTCTGTACAGAAGAGGGAAACACTTTGAGTATGATGACTTGACCTCATAAATATGATCATAATAGACACCCCTTTTTGAGTATGATGACCTAGCCTTATCATTATGGTGACTTTAACACCTTGAGTACTATGACTTTAATCCCTTCGATATGATGACTTCTACACTATAATGATTAAACCCCGTAAGTACGATGATCTAACACTTCGAGTATGATGACTTAATCTCTTCAGTATGATGACAACACCTTAAATAACATGACTACATCATTCACACTACAGGTCATTGTATTCAAGAGGTTAGCATAACTTAATCATTGAGATCATCAGGATCCTGTATACTAACGAGGGGTGTTAAAGACGGTCCCACTGGAAAACCAAGTAAACCAAGAAAAGCCTCACTTAAATCCTCCTCTCTCTCTTTCTCTCTCACGGTCATCACCCTATCCAAACCCTGCGTGACCTAACTGGGTGGAGGACGGAGTTGGGCTGTTTGTGTGGGCGGGCGAGGTCAGGGAGAGCGTGCGACACGACACTCCTCCACACAGTCGTCTGACATGTTTATTCTGGTCTAGTCTAGAGTTATGTAACACGGATGAGGTAACTAAGGCAAGGTTAGGTAAATTTAAATCTCTTAACATTAAAGGGTCTTAAATGCATCTGATTGGTTTATGCAGGTTGACACAAATATGGATTCTCAATATTTCTTACGTTAAATTATTCGCTGTAATTGGATTTGTTAAAACGTATTTTAATTGGCTCACTTAAGTTATGACACAAAAATGGATTCTCAAAGGTCTTTAAGTTAAATTTTCACCCTAACTACAGTACATACATGAAAATCCGTGTAACAACCCCCCCCATCAAACTACGTCTAAGAAATTCAGTCTCAGCTCAGAGGTTCGTACGATAAAAGGTAATTAACTAGGTAGTACATAATGTAAAGAAAGGTATATAGGGTTAGAAATATAGAAATATAATGAGACCAATTATCTGGCAACACTGTAGTTTATATACAGCCGACGCTCAAGCGGTGAAATCAATAACAGCTGGCGCTCAACAGTATAAATAATCAGAAATCAATATTATCATATCCATTTTGAATATACCCATTATGAGATATTAATCATATTATTCTTATTATATGTGCCTGTATAAGTAACTTTCATTATTTGCTGATATACAGAATATGTGAGTGTAACATATGAGTAACCAAAGTCCTATTGGAATGCCAGGCTGACGTCCATCCTAGCACAACGAGACACGAAATCAACACTAAAATCCTTAAAATTGATTGGAAAACTTATATTTTTTCTTGTAAATATGCGTTCTAGAAGTCATATTAGGGACAGGTCATCTTATCGAATCCTCAACGAAAGCAAGAAACGAGAAACCAAGCGATAACATAGATGATGAGAACCTAGACAATTAAAGAAAATGGTAATAATCATGAAAGGGATAACAATCTTAATATTTTTTTCTTTGATTTCATTCGTTTTATATATTTGATAGGGATATGCAATCACATGCTTCCTTATTGATCACTCAGACGATGAATATTATCACTTAAACTTTACATTTCAAAACATTTCGTTCATTTCCACCAGTCTTCGAGGTTTATTTTCCTTGACGTATTACCCCCACGTTTTTCAGAGGGACATCCACCACCTCTGACCAGATATCAGTCACAGCAGCCCTCCAGAGCGTTACTTACAGCACAGACTACACCATTAAAGATCTACTCGCAGCAATTGTCACGAAGAGATACTGAGAGGCGGGAGATAACCGGCTATCACAGAGAAAATATCACAAAATAAGAGAAGAGAGGAGCCGTCATCTCCCTTCGTCGTGGCCTCTGTTGTTGTGTCTCACCGTTGTCAAGGCCCGTTGCTACACACGCCGCCTCAGGTGCCAGGTATACAGATTCCTTATAGACAAAATTTATTCAGTAAAATCATCCTTCAGATTTACATTTGGTTCAGTTTTTTCATAAATGACGCAGATATATAAATGTTAATAAACAGAAAATTAATTTAATCAACGATAACCCATGAAAGGCATTAGACTTATTTCATGAGTGCTTAAAACGTCTCTTTTATTATATATCACAAAATTAATCAAAATATAAGCAGTATATTATCTCCATCGTAAACTTTAATAATTTAATCAGTGGTATATACAGCATAGTCTACCATATATTAATGTTTCTACACTTAAGAAGAGATGAAACGTACGACTAACCATCTGCATTGAGAGATACAGTATATCGCTGTTATCATATTATTTTTCCCCTCGCTGTTTATAAAATGAAGTATTAATTAATTCATATAATTCAATAACTGATAGCACTAGCTGTCCTAAACACATGTATATGAAATTTATGACAATATAAATGAAAAGCAAAGATACGACAGATTTTTTTAAGGCGTTGTTAGTTGTCGTACATCAGGCAGCGGTGAGTCAGGTGTGATCATGTACTACCTGTGTTGCAGCTGTCGCCTCCACTCAACGACAGGTAAAAGAATAAGTACAAGAACGAACACATACAGGTACAAGTACAACACCTACACATAAAGGAACAATTACAACTACGATACGTACAAGGACAAGTCCAAGAATGACACGAACAAGTATAATAACATGTACAGTAAAATAGAAAACCACACGTAAAGGAACCATTACTGCACGCACAGGAACAATTACAACACGTACAAGAACAAGTACAAAATTACCTAATAAATTGAGAAAAACATTCAAGAACGACACATAATTACGTACAAGAACAATAACGACAAGAACACAAACAAAACCGTCATGGACAATAGAGAAGATGGCACCGAGG